AAAGTATAGGAAACAAATAGATAGCTATCATAGAACGTAGTGTTGACACACTTAATTCGCTAATGCCACTGAATACAGAATACATGTGAGAATTAGCATAAAATAATAATACAATAATACCATGTCTCTTATATTTATGTACGCAAACATTCGCGTGTTAACACGTACGCATTGAACGCAGGGAGATTTTCATTACATGTAAGTAGTACCAGTAATTCCAGTATTTTCACCTCAATAGCGAAGTTCGTTGTATGTTAGGTAATTTGCATGTTTGATTATTGCTTTACATAGTATTGGTGTAACAATGTATGTCTTATCAAATCGACTTCCGAGAAACCAACATTTTGTGAACATTTTATCAAATATCCTAAGTTCGTCGTGCTAGTTGTGTATTTTTCAATTCTCGTATTTTCCTGCGAATCGTGAGGGGCATAAAACGCGGATGAAACTCATTTACAGTTATTTAATGCAATTATTTCCTTTTTATCAAGTCGTCCGGCTTTTTAGTTGGCTCAAAGTGTTCAATATTGGTCGGCGGGGCACGTACGGACTACGGAGTGCTTTTTCGTTTTTGTAAGAGTCGCCCCAGGTGGAAGTAGTTCTTACAGACCAACGCCATCGCTCTACGTACTCACGTACATGCTTGTTCACACTGAATAATCGAGTGCTCTTAAGCTAGTTGGATTGGAAATGTGGAAATTTTATTCCATTTCCTTTCAAACGTCTGATTTAGTTCTATTTCTGAAAAAGATTTCCGCTGATCCGAGTAAAGTATTTTATTTGAGACAGTTATAAGAATCTCTTCGAAGTAAGAAGGTGTTATGGGATATTTCGCTGATTTAATTAAAATAAATGGAACGCGTCTTAAAGGTTCTCTACGAAAACTTTCGCTAACCCTCTTAACATATTCAATAAATTTGTGTTAGCTCTAATAAGTTAAACGACTTAAGCATAAAGTTTCCATGAGTAAATTACAGTCAACGCCAATCGTGTAAGTTGTAAAATACTATAATAAACAGCGCGTCACTAACGCATTTAATGAATCCTGCGGGGGTTGTAAAACGTTGTATTCTGTAAACGTAGTCGCTCATCAGCCTATACAGTTTTGTCGCAAAATAACACCTATTCACAACCGGATAAGATGGTGCTGTCTCTAACTTGATATGCCTTTGTTTGTATGCTCCAATTTTGAGGCATTTGTACTATATTCCATGCAATAATGATAATTTGTTAGCTGGCAAAGTAGGTAAATGTCGTTGAACTTAATTTATTTATTTATTTAATTAGGACAACCAACAAGACAGACACAAATTCAAGCAAAGGGTTTACATACATAATTTTGTCTTAGGACTAGGTGCTATCTTAATTACAAGCTGCCACAGTACATTAATCGAGTAGTTAGTATATTATTGGTCTAATTTTTTCACTACATACTTATATATATTATAAAAAATTGAAAGTCCATCCATATGGTCAGTTATAACGAAACGAATCCACTGCATTAAACTAAAGAAGTAGCCTGAATCGGGATAAAATATATTAAACCACTTGTTAGCCAAAAAGATAAATAGGTAAACACCATAGAAAAATTATAATCCCTGTTAGGCCTTTCTTCCAAAATGGTTTTCATTTTGCTTATTAATTTTTCCTACGTTTCTTTTGGGTTTCATTACTTTATTTGCCTTACGAAATGAGGTTGTGAATATTTGCAATATCAAAACATTCTTAAGTAGGTTTACAAAGGGTTGCGGGGTGTTTATTTAAAGAAAACAGCCTACGGTTTATTATCTCCGAAAAGATATTCATTCTAAAGAAATCTTCTGAAAAACAAAGAATACTTTCCATTATAATTTTATTGTAGGTTGTAATATGAAATAATTTTTATGACCTCCTTTTCTTCATATTTGCCTTGATACTTATAAACATTTTTAACAGGGTGTAACTAGATACATAATGTATCACATCACTTCTTATGAACTACATAATGTAAGCCTGTTACCTGGAATTTATTTTTGATGTGCCGTCGCCTGAAAAAAGAGGTTTTACTTAATCCCCCTAGGGAATGTTCTACGAATTCGCAAAAGAGATAAATCCCTTTTAACGGAAAATCCTTAACATTGAGCCATGTCGTTGCTGTAGCATTATGAGCGGTGTTATGTGATAATGACGGTGGAAGTGGCAAGCGGCCCGCAGCACGGGAGCGCTGCCGGTAGGATATTGCGATCGCGCGGCGTCGTCAGTCAGCTAATGCGTTTCCGATGTGACGCAAATGGGATGTTTTCTGCCTCGGCAGCAATGCCAGATGCACAGGTGCTAACTGTTACCAACGCAATTTGCTCTTAATAAACAACCGTTAACGTTTATTTTCTTTTTCTACTTGCTTTTATTATCAAATTCTAAATCCCGCAATCGATTCATCGAACAAAACCAAAATAGCTGTATCCAAACATTGATGCACTTACGCTAATTCCTTAACAAACTGTAAATGCTTAGCGCACTATAAAATATACGGACATTTTAACCCCGTGAACAGTGAAACTAAACCTGGGAGATAAATCTAGAGCCAAAGCGCTTAGACGATTTATTTTCCAAATGTTCCGAATCGTTGCCGAACCGTTGGAAGTGTTGGAACGTTGCCCCATTCACAAACTATTGTTACCATGTTTTACATTGCGCTCCCAATAGCAGTTCTTCTGTCTGCAGCTGCGTGAGTAAGCAGATAATGCTGTATATCTTGATCACTGTACGTGTAACTTTTGTTATTTCAACTTAGTGGATGGTTGTTTTGCTTATTTATTTTAATATGATGTTAATATAGCTTCAAATGAACTTGAATATCCTAGATAGTGTCCCTTAATATCGTACGTACTACAGTTTGATCCATTGTCTTTTTATCTTTGCGGTTTAAAAATCTGTTTAACCTTGTCATCTTATTTTTACAATGCTATTTTTTTTTAAGATTTCTTATCTTTATTGTTCGATTTGAGCAATAATATGATGTTTTGTCATCATGATAATAGAGCTCTTATCATCACACAAGATTTCAGATTGTACGAGGTCAGACTATTGAAAGTGGTTCCCTTCCTTACTTCAGCCGTATGTTTTAGGCCTTGCCGTGTATTTGTAAAAACCTTTAAAATTGCTAGGCTATTTTCTTTTGGCTTTTTAGTTTAAAACACCTTCATTGTTCATAGACTGTACTGTCCCCGTTCTTTAATACATATTCGCTGCCTTCAGTCGTCGTCGATTTTAGTCACGCGTAGGCATCGCTGTCTATCGGTTGGATGCCATTGTTTTTTATTGCTGATCTTTGGTTCAATAAAAAATTGCTAAAAAGTGACGGTGAATGTGGTCAAAACTATTGTTAGTGAATTTTATCAAGTACACAACTGCTCACTCGCGTGGTTGCGTTGGTTTTGTGTCATGGTCGAGTTATTGGTGCAAAGTTGATTATATGCTTTATCACATTATGCTATAAACCAGTTTTGTAATATCTAACGCCACTTTTCAAGGCGTCTTTTCTGTATAAAGTCGCGTAGAATGCGGAACAAAAGACATAACTAGGCATACCAATCTGAATTCCTAAGTGGTGCCCACGCAAGGTTGCACACCTGTTGCGTATTCATGGGTATCTTGTAAATGAGCGGTGAAATCAATTTCATCAAATGCATTTTCTTTTTCAGGAATTTATCCATTATTTATTGCTCTCTATGCATATGAGAATGGGCCGTGAAACGTGACAGGTCCTACAATAGGATCTAACGGGCCGTTAACCAAATAATGTATGTGTGCCGCATTGCCCAATGTCGCACGGTTATGGCGATGCGTAGCGCTGCTGCGAACGCACGGAATTCCTCGAGACCATAAGGGTCGGTATTCAGTCCACGGCGCGCGGGCGGTGACTCCTCCGGACAGTCAACCCTGCTGCCATCGCCGCCGCGGTAACACTCGGAATACTAATGCCTCCTATTGTGCGTTCAAACTCGACGCTCGGCCGTCGCGGCCCAACGAAAGTTTTGTAACGCCTTTGTTTTGCTGACTTTCGCGCTCGCTAACTGGAACGCTCTTTTGACAGATTGGCTATACTCCTCTTTTTGTAATGTTACCGTTTGACAGTTATTGATACTCGTGATGTATTACTTCTTTGTCATCATTAAATATTGGAACCGAAGAAAGTTGTATTAGCAACGAGCCCTAGAGCGTAATTGACATGAATGTTTTAATTTACATCTCTATCAGATAGAGTCGATCTGAGTACTATTAGCTCTCCATCGTAATAATAATAATCATCATTTCCACGCTGGACTTGCTCACCGCTCTCTATTCATGGTCAATAATTGAATCTTTTCACTCGTGACAATCTATGCGTGATGCGACGGCAGCAGGAATTAGTCGTGCGTTATGAAAATGTGCTGGTGTTGGTTCATTGTGAGTTTCGCTGCATTGCGCCGACCAAGCAGCGGCTACTGCACGCTTCGCTGGCGCGCACGCCGCCCGCGCGCCTTGCTCTCCCCCTCGGTCCCTTGCGAAAAAATCATAATGCAATCGCCAGGGCGGCCGGCGTGGAACGATCGGCAACCACTCTCAACACGCAACCAACCAGTGTACATTCAAATGTGTTGGTACTCACACGCCGTCCATCATGATGGATTGCGCGTGTCGGGAAACTGATTTCTCTTGAGTTAATCCGTTCAAGTGGAAATCGTCAACGTACGAGTAAGCCGCGAAAAGTGCTTAGCGTTGGGATAAAAGTTACCATTGGATTGTTTTTATTCAGTGATGTGAACTTTCATTTGGTGTCAATATGTAGCAGCCTCTACCTCATAATCTAATTTCGATTTCCATTATTAGGATTATTGTAGGTCTCTTCCACACCGTGACACGTCACGACAACTATTATGGGCGATGGAACTACATCAACCTGATTAGCTTCCATTTTCGTTGAAACCATTGTCCATCAAACACAAATTAATTCTTTACGCGTCTCGTTTGCGTCCGGCGAGGACGGCTGCTTTCGAGGCGTTCATGTTTTCAAGCTGTCTTTCCACCGCGAACAGTGGCCTGGATCGCTCGCTGCCGACTGGTAGCCGATTACTGTGCGCGTTATCTTCAAATAGATGGATTTATAAAACGGAGCTAATTATATTATTATCATGGGTCGATAAGGAGGCAGTGGAATGTTGATAGGTGTTAGTGCGCGATCACTGTCGTTGTGATGAGGTGAACAGTGACTGTGTTTTGTGCTGTGCCAGTGTGTGATTAGTGTTTGACGCGATGTGGGGGGCAGCGGTGTCTAACCCTCCTCATTATCATTACGTTCAGGGGCCTGGGGGGCCGGTGGCCCAGAATGGTCCGGGGGGTCCGATCTTGGCGGGGCCGCCGACGGGGAAGCACCTGCGGCCGCAGTCTTCGTACTCGCTGCCGCATGGAAGCAATGGGCCCGGGCGCTGGGGGTGGTCCGGGAATCATGTGTCGTCCTTTGATCGGAGGCAGTTGAAAGTGCCACCACAACCAGTTCGCCCCGCTCCGGTTCGTCCATCGCACAGCAGAAATACAGTTGCTAGTGTAAGTGGAGGAATTACTTGTTTATTTACCTCGATACGTCACGTCGACAACTTTCGAACAAAAACATATTCTCATTATTTGAGAATCTTTGTCTCGCATTAACATATGAAATGTGATTTAAATTCTCAAGTGAAAACAAATAAAAAAAACTGAATTGATTCTGACTCAATAACGCTGTTTTTTTATAAAAAAAAACGGTGCAATTATCGTGGTTTGCATTGCGTTAACTGGTAGTTTCACATCCTGGCGCTATGCGTGAGCCTGCTCGGCTGTTTCGTATCTGTAATTTATTTCCTGGTCTCTCGCAATGCGTGTCGGATGTCGGCTGCGCACGCGTCACCCGACACGAACGCGTTTCTCTGATACCCACGGTATGCGGGCTTCCTTGATACCATCTGCGATATACATCTAACGATAAACGCTATAATTTATAATGAAATGGCATACATAACACTGAAACTCCAATCACAAATCACGTTGCCATTTTCTTTAATGACTCAGACGTTTGTTTTCTTATCGCAAATTGATCGCTTAATTTCCACATCAGTGAGAAATGAAATTCCTCTTGTCAAAATACACTTGAGTTCACTTAATGCTCGATTTGTGTTCATATAGGTTTTGCCATTGTGTAACGCGTTACGAAAATTGGATAAAAAGTGGTTGATCCAGTGAGCAAATACCGAACCGCCCGATAGACCGTATACAGAGCGGCCGTAAGACGGATTCCTATTAGGGAAGCATCTAATGAATAGCAAATGTAGTCGTAAGCGAGGTTGTTCTCTTTACGGTGCGCAGGCGCAGCCGTCGACGTCGAGGCGACTGAACCTGATACTGTTACACGGAGATGCAATCTACAACCACGTACATATGTAGTTGGTAATGATAAAACAATTAAAATTAAAAGCAAAGTGTTAAATTCTAATGCAACTTTAATTAATAATTAAATTTTAAATTAAAATAAAATTAATTTTGTATTATTTCCGTTCAAATGTTAGCAATATTTTACTTTAATTTCAAAGTTTGCTTACCAATATATCCGACCATTGCTAGTACCTACACTAACTACAAGGAAATGCAGCTTTACTATAACTGTACTTATGTATGAGGAAACTATTCTCTTTGCTTGAAGGCTACAGGAGCTTAAGAACTTAAGACAATAAAAATTCGTTAACTTTATTCATATTTACAAAAACCGATACCTTTGTTATAAAAAAATGTTGAAAAGCATTAAACAAGGGATTTAAACTTTCTTGGCAACATTTAATAATATGTTTTATGATTGTGATAAAATAGAAGTTATCTTACAAAGTTTTAATTTGTGGCAATAACTTGGCGCATAAATTGAAAAGATTCAACAATGTTAATAGAAAAGTTTTAATTAGTTGCCAAACTTTTTAACATCTTCAAACATTGCAACGGTTCGAAAAGGTCATAACTTGTGCCTGATATTTTATAGCACGTAACCAATACGTTTATTAATGGATTTCGTGTTTGTTTTAATTACAAAACTATGTTTAATTGAAAATAAAAATTATTGAAACTATTTTCAAGACAGGTATTCGTAATATAAACAGTTAGCAAGTAAGAAACGGTTATTCAGAGCGTGTATGTATTTCGATTGTTCTTCATTAAAGGCAGAACGGGACGATTAACACACACAAGAAGTTACGCTTCCCGGGCTGTCTTCGTGGTTTGTGAGTTCTCTTTAAATTCAAAATTATTTAGGTAACAGAAAAGCTGAATAAAATTAAGCATAAAAAATTCTCTATCAACAATATTTTTTTTTAAGAAGTTAATTTTAAACCTAAGTTTATCGTATCTATCTACTATCTATGTCAAATGAAAATAAAACGCTTTAAACTCTTTTGAGCGTACTGAATCCATTAGCCAGCTAAAATTGTTTGTCAACCCTGCCTCTGCCTTCTGGGCCTCGCGTGTATATTGGCCCCCGAAACTCAATAAGCCTTTTTGTTCGCACCACGGTGAGCCTCTCACTTATCATCCCCCGTTGGCCTTTTACGGGTATTTTAAGAGGAATAATGATGTCGTTTTATTTATTGGCCTTATCCCACCAGTGGTGCTTGAATTTAATTTCATCTGGTGGATTTTTATGTTAAAAAATATGTCTGTGGCGAGAGAATTTCTCCTATGTAGAGTTGTTTTCGAAAACTTTTCCTTTCTTTAGTTCAACCATAATATGGTTGAGACTTGAGAGACATAATAATAATATGTCATGATTGTGAATCCCATTATTTTATTTGAATGATTTTTCTGTATGTTCCTGAGGTTTATTGACGTTATCGTCATTTGTTTAGAAAGTAACCTTATTCCGGGCAGGCTAGATTAAAAATATAAAAGATTTACGTCTCAATATGCGGCGGCGCGCGCTCATCGGCAGTCCGGTCACGTCGCGATGCGCCGGGATAAGGCGCCACGTGCTCGACTTAGTGCCGGGGAAACTATCTCGCTTTCCCTCAAATCTGTTCTTTGAATACCTCAATTTTCTCTCCGGTTTAATCAAAGTATCATCAAGATTTCTGAAGTTGATTGGACATTTTCATTCGACGTTTTGTGACGTTGTTTACTTTAGTATTGTCCGCAGCAATTACATTCGATGACGATTTTGCAATTAGCGCAATAATGCCTTGTTATGTTAAATCATTATGGTATCTAAATTAATGACATAGGTACATTATCATATCAATGATCCAATGGATCTAAAATGATATCGTATTCAAGAAAGCATGAAGGTTTATCACTTTTATCAGAGGCACTTATTAATTTATAACTTACACTCTATTCTGGTTGATAAGAAGAACAATACGTAGGTACCAGCGTTGCCAGTTTTTTTTTTCGCCAAGTCGGGACTTTGGTACTTTTTGAGTGAAAATAGCGGGATTCTTCCGTCAGAAGCGGGACATAGTAAAAAAACGTATATAATCAAAGGTTTTCAAATATTTATCTTTTTATTTGACTTAAAATTACGTTTACGTGACAATAGATAGCAAAAGTAGCCATAAAAAATGTATTTTAACAAAAAAATAATGTTATAAATCAGATTTTACTCTATCGTTAAATTCGTCTTTAGAATAAAAAAAAGAAAAAAAATTAAAAAGTTTTATTCTTTAGAATAATATGGCGTTTCAAACAATAGTCTGGTGAAGTGAGTGTCTCTCTCCGAAAAGCGGGACCGAGCCTGTCCCGCGCGGGACATTTAAATTTGATTAAAAAATCGGGACGTCCCGCCAAAATCGGGACGTCTGGCAACGCTGGTAGGTACCTACCTAGAAAATAAAACTGAATGAGGAATGTGATGTGACAACAAGACAACCTTTTAAATCCAGCTTAGGTGTGATGTAACTCACGTCATGACGATTTAATTAATTATGCATGACCCAAACTGGGATATGCATACAAGATGCTCGTATATCTTAACCCCTTGTCCGAGACACTAACGGTTGTGCGCTTAATTATGCAACGCTGTACTGGTCTGTACCTACACACGCGAGTACAAATCTCGTTAAATATTTGAACTATTGCAGAGGCAGTATGGTAAACGGTGTTTACGTAAAGACGGCACGTTCGAATGCACGCCGGTTACCGGCCGAGAGAAGCCTTGACTCCACAGACAATGTCAACCAAATGCCAGTAGGTTGACTTGCTGTGAACTTTGATGCGACTTTTTAAGAGAATGCGCGTGCGCAACCCGCCATGAATGTAGCTTCAATTCTATATCGGCCCATTTTCAACAATTTCTACATTGATTGGGGATTAAGCTGTAATATTTGTCAATGAAAAAAGTTGTTCTTAAGACATAATACGTGGAAGATAGTGAAAAATATTTTTATACTAAAACACTAATCCTTTGTTATCGAATTCCATTACGAACGTTTTTAGGATTATCAATACGATAAAAATTCACGATAAGTAAACTAATACAAACGAGGTAGCGTTTGTTTATGAGTTGGTGATGGGGTTTTTTAATGTTGGAATCTCGAAATCTTTCAAGATTAGGTGACTTGTGTAGGTAATGTAGAGAACCAAGAATTTTTTAGGTCTCATATAGCAAGATGAAAGTTCCATGCGATGGCTAACTAAACCATAACATGCATAACATACAATTAACACGATCATATTATCATTTATTAATTCCTTAGCACAAAAAATATTGTCAAATGATTATTATTATTTTTAAAAATGCGGTTTTGAGTATTTGAAACAAATAAAATCTGCTTGACGTCATTATCCAGTCTGAGATAAAAGAGTGGATTTATACCGAAGCACAAAAAATTCGCAATTTAGGGCGTTCGTGTGTGGGAATATTTTATGGCACCCTATGAATAAATCAATCAACGCTTTGAACATCCATTTTTGTATACCTTAGGTTTAATATTTATAATTTAACATGTAGGTATGTAGGTGTTTTTAGTAATTTCCTTTGATGTCAGTGAAAGAAAATTTATAAACATTAATCACGCTGTCTCCCGTGTTTCAGAGAATAATTAAATGGATTATTTATTCTTTATTATTATATTATACTACTCTGAAGTTATTTTCTAATTAATAAATATTTTTAATACACATGCGTCATCGTCATCAAATATCAAATGATAATAAAACTAGATAATAACTGTTTACAGAAAAAACACGCCATACACTGATTAAATTGGTCCCGTCAACACTCTGTTAGGGGCATGACTTGCTAAACATAGAGTGGAAATGTTTTGACACTTATTTTTATTTGTTTAGTAGGTAGATAGAGTTAAGCCTCCTACATAAAATAAGAATTCTACATAAAATTTTTTTTTTGCTTCACAGAAGGTCGACCCCGAGCTGATCTTCACAAAACAGGAGAAGATCGGCAAGGGCTCCTTCGGCGAGGTGTTCAAAGGGGTCGATAACAGGACCCAGCAAGTAGTCGCCATCAAGATCATCGACCTTGAGGAGGCTGAAGATGAGATCGAGGACATACAGCAGGAGATTATGGTGCTGTCACAGTGTGACAGCCCATACGTCACTAAATATTACGGGTCTTACTTAAAGGTAAGTGTCAACAATTCCAAAATTATGGCGCTTGTTCAGAATTTAATTCGTGTATTGTACGATCCGACGAACATGACCAATAATGAAAGCGGTTTGACGTGCGACCGTGTTACAAATTGCCGCTGTCAAATTTTATGTGCTTCGTTGGACGGTCATGTTGCATTTGCCATTCATTACTTTTATGAAAACCGATAGCCCCGTGTGCTCGTATTAGCTTACATAGCAAGATAAAGCATGTGCAATATACCACGGTTATCGCGTTCGTCTGGCCCGGGCAGGCCGCATCAATCATTGTCTGCGAACCGAGCCTTCGCTTGTTTATCTGAAGAAGACCTTTTGTAAAGGATAAGGATCACTGGTTAATGGACTCCATTACGCATTGTATACTCCTGTTGAGTGGTGCTTCGTCCCATAAGAGGTTTCGAATGACGGCACGCTTGCGTTTCCTTAGCTGCAAGATATTGCTCACAATCCAAAGGACAAGTATCGATTATGTCGCAATCTGGACTACATTTCTTATTGATATAATCAGTAGCATTAGTCCAAGGTCTTGAACGATTGCTCACTTCATTGTTGTTGCTACAGTGCTCATTTTCACTCGCATTATTGCCCAATCGGCGTCGCTAACAGCGTGACTGCATCGCAGTTCGAGGCGTGGTTAGTTAGGCTTAGCCACGATTTGCTTGCTCCTGTAGTGTAGCTTAGTAGCATTATCATCGTGAAGTCTTACTCGTTATTACTAACAATTGTGCAGAGTAACCGCTGTAGCGGTTTTGTAATTGTATCCCTCCCTGTGTTATTTACTGCTCTAGTCTAGGTAATAGGTCATTGATAAAGTCGTGACTGTGAAATAAGATTTCGCTAGCAAGCAATTTACTTACACATAATCGTTATTGAAACCTATTACTGGTGAAATTGCGTAACGTGCCATTCAAGTGAATGTCACGAAACTATAGCGTATAAGTTAGTAAGAACATTCACCCGGTCGAGGTTTGTTCGCGTGCTGTATGGCGTGTTGGAACGATGTCCGTCACGAAGTCTTCGGGGTCAGAACACGAATAAACAAGGAACCGGTTTCGGTATCGTTTCGCATTATACACTCAAATGGTTCCCATATTAGTAGCAAAAGTACAAGCAGAACATTTCTAATATCTTGAGGTGAATATGACGCGACGAAAGAAATTGAGAATAGATTAATTACGAACATAAACTTAATTAATTTAAACCATATAAGGATGACATAGACGTAGACAATTTATAAATAGTGTACCTATAACTGAAACATGACGTAGACAATTTGAAAATAGTGTACCTATAACTGAAAGGGTGATTTTAAACAGTCTCTATCAAAATAGTAAGTATTTGGACATTTTTATGATCAAATAAAGAATATGTTTGCTTTTACGAAAAATGCATCCATATACGAGCTACTGAAAATAAGTCTCATTTGATGCGGCGTCCCCCGAAAGTGCCAATAGAATGGATGGCGTCCCGCCAGGACAGACAATAATGTCTGCGCGCTTATAATCGATATTTGCATTTTTATTGTTCCACAGCCAGATATTCCCTGCAGCTGATCCAATTTTATGAGCGTAATATTTTGGAACATTCACTTTTGGGATTCTTTTTTCTATTATACCTAAATTGCGTGGGAATGAATAAATTGCCATGTTAAAATATAGCCCAATTGCTGACTGTTTCGTATTGAATGATATTATTTATATTTTCGGACCTGACGTGATTTACAAGGCCGTGAAGCATCGATAATGAACCCGGAAGCCAACGGTATATGTTAAATTGTACAATGCCAACACGAAAAACGTTTTTTCTTTCGCTGCCACGCGGAAGACCTACTTAGCGTAATGGTTTTGATGTGTTGCATTTCCCGCTTTGTGCAGCGCGTCGGTTGCACGTTGCTATTTGCAATCTTGACACACTTTCGAATGTTGTTGTTATGCATGCCTTGCAAAATGCTATGCAATGTGAACGAGCGTACGTGAATCTGTTCATCGTCTACATCTCGTATGTTCATCGTAATGCACGCGCAACCGATTTAGCCAATCCGCAGCACATGCAGATAAACATAACACGGGCTGATTTATTTTAGAACCGAACATCTCTTCATCTTTATGTTTATTTGTACAAGGCTTTACGTCAGTTGCATAATCTTTAACTCTACTTTGTAAATATTTTCGAGAAAAGAGTGGGCGGATTAGACATTTTTGGTGCATTTTCTCTTGACTTAATTAATTTTCTTTTGTACACAATAATTGAAGGAAACATAGATAGGAAACGGGCTACAAATAATACTGTTGTTGACTTTCTAATGACGCAGTTAACACAATGTAAGATAACAGCGCAGTTTGATCCTCCAATTAATGCATGGCTGGCCCACTACATTCATGAATAGAGAGGCCGGTACATATTAATTAACATTAATACAATGTAGTGTTTACTACACTTGGATGTATGAGAAGCTATAACAGAATGTGTTTATTGATATTGACCATGAATTTTCTATGGCGACAGATTGTTATGACTCGCCCTTGACGTGTTTTCGTCTTAGGACGCACTAGCGCAGATTACGTCACTATTTACTTATCTATGTTTGGACGAAGCGTAATACATATTGCCTATGTAGGTAATTGTAAACACGGGAGCTTCGTATCTGCGGTAAATTGTTGGCAACAAGGTTCGCAATTTGCTCTGCAGAGAAAGTGTGGCAATGTTGCGGCCGTGGCGTAATCGAAATGATATTTTGTTGTATTGTTGCTTGCGGCAGTGTACTTCGTTTGTTTTCTTTTCTCATTACAACTACATCCGCGACATAACAGCATGTCTAATCACCGCTTTTCTTTGAAGCTTTATTATCTTTAACAACGAGTTAAATGAATGTCACCTTCAAGAAGTTTGAGATTACAAGAATAGCGCTTGAAGATTCTTCTCTTTTGCTAATGCGAAATTGTTAAAGGCCTTCATTTGAGAAGTGGCGCATTTACGTCAGTGCTATGAATGAATTTAAATGTGACGTGAATAAGCCCTCGGCGAAAGAGGCTTTTGGTCGGCAAAATTGTGAATGCGGATGTCGGTACGGGCGAGTCGGGGTGAAGGACGTTGGTGACTCACCGACGCTTTGGAATTGAGGAAAGTACGCTATGATTCCTATGTATAACGACCATACTTAATCTTTCGTTTCATCTCTATTCATTGCTATATTGCTATTTGCACCTAAACTTCTTTTAAATTATCCGATCTCTTGCCATCAATTGCAATGCTGATTGTGATCCCAGCATCAACAATATTTCATCTAGATTAAAAGTTCTTTAAGAAAAGACGTGATCTAACTACAACGAAAACATGTTTTATGTAAACAAAATGAATTAATGACATGTTTTCGTATTTGTTACGCTTATGGTATTATTATGACCTATTGTTTTTCTCCGATTCTCCGAGTCTGCTCTTATTGCGCAAAGTAATCATCTAATAGATATTTTTGTCAAAAATACTCCCGCTTTGTATACTTTGTCTGGTCTAAGAAATTATTTTCCCCTGAAGAAAATTCGTTTTGCGATAAGCGTTTTTGCGACGAGAATCTCATAAATTCGATATCCAGGCAAAATCTCTACCGAATCTCCTTTTACGCGTAGGGTAAGTGCGCTAGTTTTCGTCCAATTATGGGAGTTGCCAACTTTGTGATGCGAAATGAATATCTTAAAATACCCTTACTCATATGTATCATATGTAATTTTAGTCCTTATATAGTCTACTTTACGTTAATATATATGACAATAAGTAAATACCATGGGTTTTTTTATAAAAAATATTTTATGCAAAAGAGGCGATTTCACTAGTTTTCGTCCAAAAAAATCAGTTTTCGTCCTAGTGTACGCTAGTTTTCGACCACTGTGTAGAAAAAAGGGTACAGTTGAATTATTAACTTAAAACCAATTCTACAATACAGTAACTATGGATTGTGGTATATCATTTGAAAGGTAATTTTGTTAGCTTTCAAATGATATCAAAAAGATTTAAATAAGTTTCTTACCTAAATTTAGGAAAATATTGCAATAGGTCGAAGGACAAATGGACGAAAACTAATCTACAGGAATAGCTAATTTTGGTTTTCGTCCACCCCAGTGCTTGCTCATGACGTCATGGACGAAAACACAACAACGTTTAAAGCTATTTTTTGTTTTCGTCCACATCTTTTTAACGGTTTTTATGGGTTTATCACTGTTAAAAAGTGGACGTAAACTAAAATGTTTAATGTAATAGCAATAAAGATCATATTGGAAGAAAAAACATTGTATTTTGTAGGTCCATTGAAGTAAAATGATTATTAAAAATATTAACTAGGTGTCAGGGTTTCCGTCCACGTGGACGAAAACCAAAATCTTGCAAAATTGTTATGCTAGTATTAGTCCACTTAATTATCTAAGATTTCTATACAAAAACTTTAATAAACCCTTAAAATAGTGTTTATTATGCTAATAATTAGACATACGTGCCAAAAACATTACGTAAAGTAGCTAAAACAGTAATTAAACATACCATGAAAGTTCCCTACCGGCACGTTCTTTTTCTAACTTGACGACGTTTTCCATTCACCTGTGTGCAGCAGAAACTTCCTTAGAATTTTTTGGAGTTATTACTTGTCAAATTACATTTTCATGCAGTCAGAACTGTTACTTAGATATTATAGATTGTAAAAAGTCCAAACTTGCACGGAAAGTTAGGTTTGTATTCTAATTTTCCGTATTTGTTTGTGGCAAGTCGGTCAAATGGACGAAAACAGGAGCTGGACGGAAAACCGGCGCAATTACCCTATTTTATTCCGGTTTTATTTTAGGATTTAAGGAGGAATAGCCGTTCGGTGCCGCGCGATGACTATAAAGTGCGCGAGGTTGTTAGCTGTAAACGCATTAGGGCCACCTTGACCTCCCTGAATATCATCTGGAGTCAAGGCCCTCGCAACCTTATAGATATTTTCGCAATTTCAT